TATATATTAGAGTGTATGTGCTTAAACGCTGTTACATCCCTCATTATATGGCTAGATGACTTCCGTTGAAAAGAATAACTTATTGTACCGATGTCATAAGTTGGCCAACCGCTGAACTTCTACAGCGAGCTGCATTGTGCATCATATGACGGGCACTAATACTCTCCATTATAAAATGGATGCTGTTTACCGAAGGCATTCGACGAACCTAATTTTTTTGGAGCAAAGGTTGGCCAACAACAGAAACTTGGGCTAGCATCATAATGGACATAAAAGTGCATCGGACTTTACATTCAATATGTTATAAAATAATTCTGGATTTAATGTGACGTGCCTGGCACACATCTGAGCTGCTACATCTACATGTATACGCTTTTCTCTAAGAAACGTTTGTTTTAATAGTTGTAATACATTTTATAATCTAAAGAAATATTCACACAGCCTCTTTTGCAGGCGTCTCACTATATAATTTGCTCAACTCCTTTTTAATAAGTCGTTATATTTACGTTATACGTAAATAAATACAAAGTTATAAAATAGACAGAAAAGATACATAAGTTGTGCTCAAATAGGAATCAAAGAGATTTCGTCGCACTTGAGTCATTTAGTTCCTTGTTTCAACCAGCAATGGCACTCCACCTTCAGGAGTGAGGCTCATATTGAGCGCTTTCCGATGAGGCACTTCCGCTAGTTGTGGAGAGCGGACGAGTCGAAACGATCGCAGGATCGTGACGAACGTGATTTTCAATTCTATCAGTGAGAATCTCCTACCAATACACATTTTTGGTCCAATCCCAAACGGCAAATACTGAGGCTGTGTAGCGGCATTGGTATCGACGAAACGGTCAGGGTTGAAACGTTCTGGATCTGGCCAGTATTTAGGGTTCATGTGTACCTCAAGAACAGATGCTTGTACCTGGGTGCCCTTGGGAATGTGAAAGCCCCCGACCTGCACATCAGCGTTGCCAACTCGGGAAACCAAAGAGATAACGGGCGGAAACATTCGCAGTGTTTCTAGCAGAAACGCTTCCATTCGTTTAAGTTTTTGGACCTGTTCGTAAGTGACGTCTTCAGGTCCACTACAGACCTCATTAATCTCTTCGAACAGTTTTTCCTGCTCCTCGGGGTGTATTGCCATCAGGCAGCAGGCGTTAGCAATAGTAATTGCAGTAGTTTCGTAGCCAGCAAGGAGAAAGAAAAAGGCATTTGCGGCCACATCCTGATCCTCGATTATACGGGTATCCTCACTGGCGGCGTCTATCATCAACTGTAACATGTCGTCCGCCTTGCATCTGTTCTTTTTGCGATACTTGATCACTTCATGGATATGCGCGACTAGTCCATACATTGTTTTATGCGTCGATGTGAAACTGATACAAACGAGACCAAGCGGTTGTTATTTTTATATATATGCTAATAGACATACTATGATGCTTGATGTGTTTTGTTTCGGATACTATTTTCAATGGCGTCTGTATTATTATACAGGATTAACATCTATATTCATGGAGGGTAGGGAACGAATCATTACTACTTACTCTGCCAACGCCTTGAGCACTTTCGTTAGGTGAGGTAGTCCATGGGCCAAGTGGTAAATATAGGTATCCGTGTTTGACAGGAACTTACGCACCTGATTTAGCAACGTGTCTTTGTCATCAATGATACAATTGATTTTCGTTGCTAGTGCACAGCGAGCTATTACATCTAGGGTAAGCTTCTGGCCTATGTCGAAAAAGCAGATAGGAGCGGCTTCAGCAGAGCGCTCCTTAATCACCTGAAAAATATTGTGCATTACGCAAACGTGTATGTTATTTTTGTATTTTCGACCCGATGAAACACGGCTTGTGTGGCAACACATAGCTTATCTGATAACCGGTAAATTACAAATTTAGCTAGTGAGCTACCTGCACCGTAGTACGTGCTGAGTCATTCATGAGACACATCATCAGTTTAAGTTTTGCTCCGCTGAACGCTGGGGTTAGCACTGAACGAACTGTTTTCCAATGGTCGTGCGGTAGGCAGAGTAGAGTGCTCGTTACAGGGTAAGTTTGAAGAGCGAACGGCGGTCTCTCATTGAAAACATTAGGCAACTTCACGAACAAGTCGCGAACCATTTCAGCGTCCGAAAGAGCTATAACGGGCTTCTCGCCGATATAGAAGCCGAACACTGGCCCATATTTCTTAGTCCAATCGCGTATTGCTTCGATTGGTTTCTTCTGAATGGTCATATAATGGCCAAATAGAAGCGAATCTACTTCGGGACCGGGAATACCGAATTTCTTGAGGATTTTTTGATCTGAGCGACGTTGCAGCACCCAGAGTCCAACCATAATGAGTATCACAATGGCTAGCCAGACCGAGAACACGTTGAGGTGACCATACTTGTTGGCCAACTCAAGAAAATCCTGCTTTGGGATTTCCTCTAACAAGCAGAGTATGTCCGCCATGATCATTCTACGCTACTTCGACGCACCGTGAATTGTTGTCGCGCACTTTTGTTTGCTACGAAAGGCCAATTCAACTCAACTATAATGGAACGACCATCTACTGAATGTAACAAGCTACTCGTGTAAGCTTTGGTGTTTTCTACAGAAAATTTACTGGTTTTGGAGAGATTACTCCCCCAGCGTCCCCTTATCAACGATTAGGCCTGCTTGGCTTAATGAAATCTCTTGGCACACGCCATTGATTCACTATCACACTTCTCAAAAGGCAGCAATTGAATGCTAGTATTATAGATGCATGGCTGCTTGGGAGCTTGATGGATAGACCAAACAGATGATCAAGTTTGTGTAACTAAAATATGACCTAGCTATTGAATCATTCAAAACCACTGGAATAAGTATTTTCAGATATAGTAATCTAGCCTTTGGCGATGCTACAATGGATCTTGTTTAAAGTGATCATAATAATTAATCTATTGGGTGACGTTCGCGATCGGACGAAAAATCTTGCTATTCGTGCACGCCGGGCACAATGCCGCTAACGGCTGGGTACTAGGTGATGTCTTAGCAGTACTGAGTACGTATTTTGCCATCAGTAATTTTTCCTTTGGTGGTTTGGAAAGTAGACAAACGAACATAGTTTTCACAATTGAAAAAAAAAACCAAGTCATCGCGGCTCTAATCCCCTCCGAATTTCGTCCGCCATCCCATAATCCTATAGCATACCTGTATTGGGTTCTGTTGCTTTGGGTGTAAACATGATAATTATCATGGTTTCACTAGCGTAAATGTATTAACAGCAGCATTATGAAGAAAAAGAGTTTTTTCTTCTCTTAACTGTCATTTACTCTCAGATTCGTTTTCTCTTGTCGCTTCTGTCTAGCCGCACGCTGCTGAATAACGCAGTGAGGTAAAAACATAAAACATGCTACAAAACAGGAAATAATACGAATACTTAGGAGATACATAGGGTAAATTCAAGGGTTGGCTGTCATTGTTTACATGCTGCCGTACAGGTAATTTAGGGCTTTCTACAAAACTACATTTAATGACGGAAAGAAAACTAGTAGCATCTGCTTAGTGGTAGCTGTCGCCATGGCTGGATCCTTCCAGGCACCTAAGGGATGCTCAATTCTGACAGCTGAAATGAAAAGGGACACGAATACCAATTCTGCATGCCGTGATCCTCATTCGTTCAGATCGTATTGCTTTTTCCTCGTTTCGAAAAGTTAATCTTATGAACGAGAACGTAACTTCCTCATGTATAGATTGAATAAGAAGTTGCAGCTATAGCCATAGCACAAGCAAAATACTCGAACTACGGATGTCGCTCACTAGTAAGACACGGTGTTGCGGCTGCTGGTTTTAACAAGCAAGCGTTTTCTCTCTGTTAAAACTCAACATATGAACGTTATTTTAGTCGTAGCCTCTCGTATGGTTTTCGTGCAGGGGTTCCTTTTCCCGCCGGACTCTTTCCGGGTGCAAGCGAATTTATGAACAAACACCTACAACCGCTGCTCCAGCCACTACCACCAGCTGGTAGATAGGTAACTTTTCTGTGTTGCAAAGTGAGTTTGCCTTTCGAAAAATGTTTGCGTTACTTGCTTATGATATCATCGTTCATGCGGTTCAACAAAGCTGCCGTACAGCAGACGTAATCGAATGTAAACAAAACGAATAAGCAACGTAATTATTTACAGGATGTCGAAAATTTATATCATCTTACTTAATTCTGCCAGGAGCTACATAAAATTGAAGTTTTCGCATCTATGATTTAATATTGGCAACATCAATTACGCAAAATGCTGGTCTTCTAATACATGTTCATGTATGCGATACTGCATATTTGAGAACGGCCATCAGTAGATATTAGAAATAATGAGAAGCGTTTACCGATTCTTAGTTTGCAATAGAGTAGTGTATTGACGCTAGGATCGGTCAACATTTTATGTCCTTTGGGGCCTATTTTTGAATAGGATGGGGCAGGTAGTTAACCCATTTCAGAGTTTCAGTAAGTTCTTGCACTACCGGCTGCACTACCGTTCAGTTGTGGTTGAGTAAAACTTTTCTTGTCGATGAAAAAGCCATTAGCTAGAGATAAGACCTCCAGATATGGATGCAGTGGCCTTGTTTTGGAACTACAGTCACGAAACAATAAACTGGCCGTGAAAAATACAAGCTATCAGAGATACGTAAGCGGTTGCCTACGCTCAACTGCAACTCAGGCGGGTAAAGCGTGCGGCGCTATCAATGTACTACGCCCATGATATTGATAAGACATTACAATCGTCGTCATCATAACGAACATACCGATAGAGCAGCAATAAAATAGGCACTCGCTTTTAGTTGTTGTTTATTGTGACTCGGTATTTAGATGAGCTTTGATTTAAGAGGTTCGTTCTCAGCGCGACGAACTGGGCTCTCGGCATAATTCACGCCTTTATGAGGAGCAGCAACTACAATACGCCACCGCATAACGGGAGTGTGTGTCAATGTATGTCACAGTGACAAAACTATACATTTAAGATTAGCTCGATATACCTCGTTTTTCTTAATCGGATTTTTCAATTATCAATGAATGCAATCGAAGCGTTCAATCCCAATTCCAGAAGCCAATAAAACAATTATGACCCTGACACGATACGACCGACACTGAGTACGATGCGAGACTCTAGCTCAAGTACAGATTAAAGACTGTCTTACGTATACTTCAACCTAACAGCTACAGTGAATACGATTTTGCGAGCAAGTCTGGCATAGGCAAGACACCAGTTTGATTTCGTAATAAAAATAACGTTTCTCATTCTATTGACATGAAACCCTACAGGCTTTGCTCTGCGACTTCCCATAGATAGTTTGATTTTAATCGAAGAGCCAGTAGATTATTTGGGGCGTTCGGTCGAAGAAAGTGGGTCAAACAAAATATTTTCATGTGTGTCTCTTATGTTTCCAATATAATACACACGTACCTCTCGTGACAAGGACAATCCTTGCGTTTCAATAAATCTTTCAATTATTGGAAATCGTCACACCATTGCCACCGTAAGACTTCATCACATGTCCACCAATTATTACGTTCCTGCAAACGTACCGAGGTGCATAAAAATGTCTAATATATATAATATCACGTTTGCTTTTAATCACGAATAGATGAATAAGCGTACGTTTTCAGACCACTATTTAAAAAAAAAAAATGTTAAATGCGTACGAATAATTGGAGACTGAATTTTCAGCAAAACTTATTTGTTTACGTCGTCGTCATTAGAGGTTACGGTGAGTTTCGGCAGTCTTTGACACAGATAAGGCAAAAAATTGCAATGAATCCAAGTACACATATGATACATGTGCCCGAAAATAAATATGGGATTGATAAGAAGCGCTAGGTGTGGTTAGGAGTAGCCAGCAACTAATGGCAAAACGGAGTACTGCGCTCGATTCACACACAGATGGCCACCGAATACAGACTTAAACATTATACTAGTCAATCACTTATTAGAAGTAAATAGAACCATCATCTATAGCTGAGAAGCAGGCTTGGACTTAGAAAACGCAAAAAAAGACGCACTCGTGTTTCTGGTCTGTCTGGTCATATTATTAGCCCACAACACGATAGCTGGCAGCTCGGTGCGATATCGATTGGCCTACTTAGGCCTTTATTAGACTGTAGGCATAATAAATGTCGGGCGTCATGCAAACGTAAAATACGTCTCAACAGCCAGAGCTCTGTCTAAAAAGTTAGGGTTAATAAACTAATTTCATGCGTATATGTTAAAGTTAGCCTTTTTTTCTGAACAGTGTCAGCAAATAGCGAATGTATGTATTTTTCATTGTTGGCGTATTCTCTCTGAGAATACAAACATCCGTAAAATGCCGTATAATCTATTTAGGTAAAAATTAACCAAGTAATTATAGCTAAATTTGTATGATTTATGGTTTAATAAATTGCCTACATTGTCTTGCTACAGGAAACTTCTCACCTATTAGTGTTTCATTGAAAATAGTTCTCGATATATAGTTAACGGAAAGGTACTGATATTTGATGTGCAGCTTTGAAGCAGACAAGACATTTTTGTAGCTAGTCTTCTATCCGCATTGTTTCGCCATTTGTCCTTTTTCTTTTCTAGCGTCTTCGGCTCTTATGGTTGATTGAGCAAATTCTGCAAAACATCTCCTTCTTGGCACAACATTAAGTCTTTACAAGAAGTTATGGCCTGAGTGCGGCTTCCTTTTACGGCATATATGCCTTTACCACCGCTGAATTGATACACTGTCATATATGAATAATATATTAGATCTTCTACGTTATCCTGTCGCTCTATAGAATACTGCTCGGCATAACGCTCGATTACTGCCTAGCTAAAAGGTATATTCGTACGATCACGAATGACCTACCTAACCTAGGCCGTGGTCTCGATAACGCACCACGCGGGTGAGATAATTGCGGCTGAATAATTTTACCATAAAGATTTTACTAAAAGACAAATTAGTTTTAACATTCGATTTCAGTGATGGAGTGCGGTCGTAAATGTTATCCTTTTGTTTGACCCGCATATTCAACAGTTCGATACAACGCCATGACTAATGAGGGTACGTTATGAGTGCTTCTATTAAATGCTGACAAAAATCAGCGAACTCTAATGAAGCATACAAGCTTACTTATTACGGTTCACATAACTTCACATCTTATAGGCAATGAAGTGTGCAAGTTTCTGGCATGCTCTAACTTCTAGTGATATGATTCGATTTAGATACAATTCCCGTTGTACTTCCCAAACAGAAGATGGTGCCGTATATAGTAGATGCGTGTATCACAGCCGGACATTATAGATAGTTATTTTCTTTAACTCAGTTCACCTTTTGCAGCGAACTACGTATCGAAGAAAGATACTGTTCATCATATTTTAAGCACATCTATCGCTTTTTCGAGCTACAGTGAATTCTATACACACCTATGAACCAATTCTATACATACGAGTTATACGAATCCTTAATAAGATGTCACGGCCATCGCATATAGGACTATATCGACTAGTTAGTCGTCTTACTATTATGCAGTGCAAAAATCTCTGTCGTTTGTTAAGTTGAATCCTAACGGAATCAATAACAACATGCTTACGCCCTTTTTCCCC